TCCCCCAAAAGAGAAAAAAAAAAAAAAAAAGATAAAAAAAAAAAAAAAAAAAAAAAAAAAAAAACCGACATGCTAAGCTAATGAAAAATTGATGAAATGTGAATTGTTGAAATAAGAAAAACAAAAATAGATCAAACAGAAACTATACTTTCACTTGGCGTTAGACATGGAATTAGACATAAATAATGTAATTCTTTTATCAGTAATTAGTAAAATTACACTTAAAAGAAAAATGACAAAAATCAGTAATTAATCAGTAATCATTTCTAAAAAATTTTTATAGGACAGCAAAAGGACATAAATCTAATGAATCTAAGCCAATCACAGAGCCACCCTTCCTGCTAATCCTGTTTGGTGTCACATGAGAAGTTGGAGCCGATCTCTGCTGACATTGCAATGTAGGATGAAAAGGTCCTAAAAAAAAACCATAGTTCCGTTATAATCCCCTCCTCTTCATCTTCATCCTTTTCCAATTAGCAACAACAGCCAATAACTCTGATGTAAACCCAAAACTTCACGATGTCCAGGGCGGCTTCATCGTCATGGTGACCGACCCACCGTTGGTCCAGAGTATAAACCGTCCTCCATCTACAGTAACATATTCTGTACTGTTCTCCACAGTGTGAGTCAGCGCTGCCTTCGGTCTACACTTCACCTGCAGATTCAGAGTATTTTCACATTTTGTCACGAACCAAAGTGGATGTGTTGTAATACTGCAATCTCTCAAATTGCTCTTTTTATAATTGGATCTCAATGAACGGTGGTTAAAATTAAATAACTACCCGTTCACAGAGACTCTGGAAATACAATGTTTTCTTTCTCACTCCAATTCACTTGCAGTTATGTCCAACAATTAGGAGTTTTATCTTTTCACCAATACCAAAAACGAAAAAAAAAAAAAAAAATGCTGATATAGACATAAATGTTTTCTCTTTGGCTCGCCTGCTGCTTTCCAGATAGCTGGGATTAAAGAAGCGTTAACAGAATAAAGGGATTGTGGATGTACGTTGCCTTCGGCGCAACACTTCTGCTGCTGCTAAAGACGGGAAACGTTCCTCTTGATTTCTACGGACCTGACGCAGCTTTGAGTCGCAACGGAGACACTGGTGTTGGTGACGGCTGCGAACTGAGCATTAATATTCTCCAACAAAATCACCCAAGGAAGCCACGGTTGAAGAGTTAGCATTTAGCTGCCTCCGTTCACGCTGCTGCCGTTTCCAGGCCTGTGATTGGCCAGGCTTCTGCAGCACACTGCAGTGGCGCAGGTCCTCTGGCTAAAGGGCACGCAGACAAAGAGGCAGAGCCGATTATCTGTGTCTCATCCAGAGGGAGCGCACGGCAGACGACTATTGTACAGATTCAATGTCACGTTGGGGCCTTTTCACTGGAGCCACAAAAGACCTGAGATTACTGAGATTCTCCTGATAGAAAAGCTTTTGTGACTGATATTAAGATGTAGCAGGGAGTGTGAAATACCTCCGCAGTCAGCCTGTAAAAACAAACAAAGCGCTGGTTTTTAAACTCACACTCACGAGCCTGAATGAGGATTGTCTAATAAAATTAAACCCACACTGCCACTCATTTTCACCTTTGTTTCCCGACCTGGGATTTTTCACGCAGATCCAGGTACGAGTACCAGCGTCTGTAAACCACATAATGGGTGAGCAGTGAACTACACGTTGGGAGCTTGTTGGAGGTTAACGGAGGAGGCTTCAGATCAGAGTGCCTGAATCATTAATTCATCCACTTTACATTTGTTCTATAGCTAATTAATTACCTGTGCACAGGCACTTACAAGAACCAAATGTAGCATTTAATTCCAAACCTGGGCCATCACGAAGATTTAATGAAACGGCTTTTTGGTGATTAGTCTTTTTTTTTTGTACTTCACCCTCATTTTTATCTCGTGTAAACCATACAAGTTAGTTTGAGGCATGTTCCGCGGCTCTTGTCGAGTTGCCAAGACTTGATGGCTGTGAATTATCGGGATGTTATCACTGAGTGACTGTGAATTGTCCAACTGTGAGATCAATAAAGAACCGCTGTCTCATCTGGATACGACTGGACTCCACCGCTCCCATCTCCACCTCCACCTCCATACTGACTCGATTCGACTCAACTGGACTTGACTCTGATTCGCTAACAACGCTAACACTCACTGAAACTGAACAATGTTTCAACCATGGACCCCTGTTTAAATAACGGACGTAGCTACGGAGTATCGCCAACGCCGGCTGCCGTTTCCAGTAAGGACGAGTTCATGACCTCCTGGTGACCTGACCTCAACAAGTTGAACACTGCAGGTCAGAAGGTCAAAAAGCTTTAAGACCAGACATCAAAATCAAAATCAAAAATCAAATCAAATTCAAAATCGGAGCAAACGCGTCCTGCTTTCAGGTGGAAAAGACTCCTTACCGTAGTCTGTGACTGCAGCAGGATCTCGTGTGTTCTCCCTGTGTCTGTTTGGGTTCGGTTCAATACGACTTTATTGTCATAATATCATGGAGAGAACACGCAGGTAAAGATGGTGGTTAATGTATTCTGTTTTATTCCAATAGTGTTGGCCGCTCATTGGGTTTGCTTCATCGGACACGATGGAGCGATTGCTGCTGGTTGGTTGGTTGGTTGGTGCGAGCTCGTCGCAGCTCGTCGCCACAGCAAAGTCACTAATGATGTCAGGGATATGTCGCCGACTTCGCCCGTGATACAGTGACTCATTTCCTATTAGCGAGGCCTGATTCCACACGACTTGCTTCTTGCATAACGCATCGGCCCACGTCTGTGCTGCCACGCCACTCCGACTGACACCCCTTAACCAAACGCAGTGAATGAAATAGACACAGGCCCTCACTTCTCATCAGCATTCAGGAGGAAACGCCGGCATCACCCTGCCATGCTTTTCATGTCCAACAACACAGACACCATTTTCAGCCTCTAAAATGGTTGCCTAAGAAGAAATGGGATTGTACATCAGAGCATAACTGGCTCCTGAAGATGTGAGGCCGTTGTGGTGAAAGGGAATGTGCTGTGCTGTGCAGTGCTGTGTCAGTTTAATATGCAGTGTGTGGTGCAGTCTGTTTAATTAAGTCCACTGCAATGACTGCTTCACTGTCCCTGCATGAGCAACAGCCATGAAAGAAATGGAATGTTTCTCAGCCTTTTCACCTCAGTCATTTCACGATGGCCTTAAAGATACTGTTTTTGTTTCTTAATCAGACTTTAATTGTTGCCTCGGTAACCATCACCGTACCAGGTTTTTAAATCGTTCACTCATTTGTTTGTTTATGTAAAGGTAATAACTACGGCTGATGTGGTTTATGGTACAATGTCATTTTCTTCAGAGGGAAATGTTTTGTTTGTTTGTTTTTTTCAATGCACTTTTGTACCGTTTTGTTCCTCACGTAATAAAAATTATTCAGATAAAAGAGTGATTTTGATCAGTTTCTATCCTTAGGTTAGAATGTGACTGACCCTTAAATAATAACACAGTCTAATTTTCTTGTGTAAAGTAAAATAATTTCCTCGTGAGCTGAACAGACAACAACAAACTGAACCTCTTGACTGTTCAGACTTTTTGGATTTTTAATTCCAATAAATAGAGAGAGAGTGGGGGCGGGGGGAGTGGGGGGTCATTTGCCTCTAATGAGGGTTGGTGGTGAGACAACACTGGTGTCTCACCAGCAGGGGGTTCAGTGTGAATTACCTCCCACTCAGGACAGGAACAGACAGATAGTTTGTACCATTTCTGATTGTTACAAATGGAAAAAAAAAAATGACACTTGAAGATAGAAAACACGGGAATACAAAGCTATGGTGGAGTGTCAATATAATATCAACTCACCCCCCCCCCCGAGATCCCGCCCCCCTGCTCTGGGCTGCCACTGCGTGCAGCGGCAGGACTTCAAATCAACAATGTGTTGTGTTCTCAGAGGAGCTGCCCTGCTTCTACCTCTGAAAATAGCACAATAAGGAGCTGCTTGAAATAATCTTGTATCACTTCGAACCATACCTCAGCTAAATATGCCGAGAGGCGCAGCCAGCAGCTCCCTGTGTTCAACACACAGCCAAGGTTCAAATGATGGACAGTGCTGACAGGGGTAATGACGTGTAAATTACAAGCAGGTCGAAATCGCAATGTTCTCCCCAGTGGTGAAGGAGCAGAGTCATTTTATATACACGGTGATTGCTAAAATATTCATAACAAACAAGGAAATGTGTTTTTACTCCTTTATTCCACCAGGCCATTACGGTTCCTTTGTGTGGGTTAATTAAGTCAACAAATGACCTATAAGATGGTAATGCCGCCACACCGCACATAAGTTCTGTCTCCCACATTTGCTCAGACGCGAGGGCTTGCAGAACAAAGACGGGAATAATAACAGCACGCGGTGACGACAGTTTGCATTGAGGCAGATACTGTGCAGGAAGAGGTGATGAATTGCACCATTAAAAAAAACGGCAGAAAAATGCATGAGGGGGACTTACAGCTCGGAGAGTTGGAGATGCTGGAAGAGCTGCCAGGACAGAGTGGCGAGAGGATTCTTCGACAGGTTTCTGCAGAGGAACAAAGAAACAAACATAAATGTGATTAATGCTCTTACATCCACTCCATATTTCTTCTCTGCTTCTGGGTGCGTTTCCATATTTAGGTTTTAAATTATATCTGTTCCAGAGACACAAAAACAACTCGTGTTTTTTCCTGAAGTAAGGTATTGTCACGTTCCTCCTCCTCCTCCTCCACACTTTTTCGAGCAAAACCGCTTCTGACAAAAGCCACCTTTTCAAACCAACAGGATGGTATTAATACAAATAAACAAATTTAGCTAAGTACTATTGACAAGAAATGAGACACAGGTCTGGCCGTGTGTACCTGCAGGGCTCCGTCAACTCAATAAAAGAAAGTTGACCGCTTTCAAGTCAGATAACTCAATTGACTTAAGGAACCCCTGCAGCTCAGGAAGCCACGAAATTCAATAGTGAACGGCCAGAGAGCGGTAAGTGATTTGACCAAAACCTTTAACTGGTTTAAATATGGAGAACACCAGGCATCTGTCTGTGCACCGTAATGAAGAAATACAGCATCTCTGCCGCACAAACACAGCAGTGTGTCATAAAGTGCACTATTATCAGTCCAGGCACAATGGATGTACTGCAGCACAACGCTGGAGAAAAAAAAAAACTGTCATCTGTTCTCCTGTTTTCAACAATCCTTAATGGAACTTCAATAAAACAGTCACTTTGACACGACGGCCAACAGTGTTTATCTGTTTACACACGATAACACCACAAAGTGTACAGACAGCGGACTGGAGATGGAACGGAAGGAAGACACTGAAGAAACAACAGAAACGTGACTGAATTATTTTCTTAATTCACTAAAAAAACTACGACCTTAACATCCGGTTAGTTGATGGTCAACACGACGGTCACCTCAATTATAGACAGCAAAGTGTTTAAAATGTAGAAATGTGGTTACGTTTGGAAATACTGACCACACACACACACACACACACACACGACACAGGTTAATTTGTATGATAGAGCAAAGACTATGAGCTGCTGCTGAAGCTAGAACGGTTTCTATAGCAACAGGGAGCTAAGGATGCTGCAGGACATTCGAATTTCCTGTTATATCACACACACACACACACACACTCACACACATCTGTGTGTTTTGGTTGTGCAGACTCACATTAGCATCCCGTTCTTTGTAGCTAACACCAACACACGTGTTTGTACGACATTTGAATCCTCCAGAGGACACACAGTCATTCATCCTAAAAATCCAATAACCTTTGATCATTTGATGCCTTTGTTTCACACCAATGCTAACTCTGTGGTACCATAGTGTAGCGGTTAGCACGCCTGCCTCGCAAGCAGAGCGCTGAGCGTCCAGGGTTTGATCCCCACAGGAATCAATAACATTACAATTACAGGTGAAGTTCATGCATCAGTTGGGCGGGTTTGATCCCCACAGGAATCAATAACGTTATAATTACAGGTGAAGTTCATGCATCAGATGGGCTGTTTTTTTTTGTTGTTGTTTTTTTACAAATGATCTGATGTGCCTCGTTACAGCCATTCAACAAACCACAGAGAACGAGTTATGATGCACGACGCGCCTCACGGTGATGTAGAACGTGCATAAAGATGAGCACGCCCACGGGCGACAACAGACCGAGAGTCTCAGACGCTGGAGCAGATTGTCCTGAAAATCCTTGATTTCAAACCTGTGCTGCGGTACTTCGCCTTTTTAATGTGCGGTAACACTGCACCGTAATGATAGATCAGGTATATCCATCACTGCTGTACAGTGGTGATGACGCCATCACTGTACAGTGGTGATGACGTCATCACTGTACTGTACAGTGGTGGTGACGTCACCACTGTACAGTGGTGATGATGTCATCACTGTACTGTACAGTGGTGATGACGTCATCACTGTACTGTACAGGGGTGATGACATCATCACTGTACAGTGGTGATGACGTCATCTGGTTAAGGTTTAAGTTACAGCTCAGATGTTTTGTGTTCGTGAGAGAGAATATATAAAGTGCTATGCAAGAAGTTCCCCCCCTCCCCAGAGAACACCTGTGGCCCTGAGGGCTTTACTCCATACAGAATAGAAGAGAGAGAGAGAGAAGTGATTGACAGGTAAACATTCTCATTAGGTGATGTAATGAGTGGATTGAGATTTTAAATCAAACAGCCTCAAAAATAGACAGATCTACAATTATACCCATGAAAAAGACCGAAATAGAAACACTTCACAAAGAGATAAGAAACATTCACACACACACACACACACACACACACTGGGCCGCAGATGTGAAGAAGACAAGTTTCAGACTTTAGCTGTGAACAGCAAGATTTTACATTATTTTACCTGCAGAGTCTGAGAATGCATCTGTTTTTTAAGGCGATGCGTCGTGACATCCTCTCGCTCAGATCTGTACCAGTGTGTGTGTGTGTGTGTGTGTGTGTACATCACAGCATCTGGACTGAGCAGCCCTCTTCATTTATTCTCCTTTCTCTATATCTAATTCGCTCAGATCACTGATCAAAATAACAAAAAGCCAAAAAGACATCTAACAACGCCGGTACATTCTCATTAAGTCGAAGCCATGGATCCCTTGTGAAGAAAATGTAAATTTCAGGAACAGAGCAAGTGCACAAAAAGCCTTTCACTTAAATGAAAAGTCAATATGATTAGAGTAGAAAGAGAGAGAGGGAAAAAAAGATGGAGGAGG